TGAAAAAATATCCTGGATCAATGAGCTCACAGGATCTGACGACTGACGGCAGAGACACGCCGGAATCGACGGCTGACTTCACGAACCATGATATCTCATAATTTCATTAAATAGTTCATACAACACCATCCATTTTAACCCTCGCCCGTATAGGGGGGGGGGGGGGGTCGAACGGACCCCCGCCCCCATGGTTTTTCGCGAATAACTCGCGTAAGAAGCGGCCGATCGCGACGAAACTTTCAGTACTCTCGCGTTAATCAATTTTACACCTACTCTGAAAATTTCATGACCCTGACCCCAATGACCTTTGACCTGTGACCTACTTTTCGAGACCATGTTTGGCCGGAATCGCGATTCGGCGTATGTCGGCTCGCATTAGCCGCGCGTTTGCAGTCTTTTCGTGGTTTCAAGCGTTCAAACGTGATATGATGTTGCACCCATGCGTTAGGGTGGGTGTCAAGGTCACTGAAGGTCAGGTCAGGTCATTGACCTTTGATGACCTCGGTTCACTTTTTCGAGTTTTACATGTTTCTAGGCCAGTTTTTGCAGCTGAATTAGAATTTGGCAGCCATTTGAACACTTACGAAGTAGTTTTGGTGCCTTCGTAACATGTTACGAAGCTGTCAGAGGCGGTTGACACCTACTAGGAATACCCGGCAGAACCCCTACTGGTTGACCTGACCTGACCTGACCCTACCTGGACTAAATGCACGAAGACATCATCTGTGATCAAAACTAACATGATATTCGTGATCAGCACCCCGAAAAACCCCGTGGCAGCCACACTTTACGGCGTTCTAACAGGTCCCGATTTTCCCGACTTTTGGGTCATTGACCTGACCTGCAAGGTCAACCAATGACCTAGGACCTTAAAATTAGGTATCATCGACTTCTTCTCGTCACGGGCAACACGCTCGTTTTTTTCCGCGAAGCTCTAGCTCGATCAGGGGCGAAACAGCAGGGGGGGGGTCCGACCCCCCCCCCCCTTATACGTTCGCGGCTGGAAAAAACACCAATACGGGCGAGGGTTAAACCGCCGTTATGATGACGGGACAGTGAAAATCCGTTTGGAGCCAATTCAGATTGATTTCCCTTTTTCGGTAGGGTAGGACCCAGAGCGGCGTTTCTGCTGTGCGCCGTGGCTCAGCTGGTCGAACTGAGTGGGCGCTGAGCGGGGAGCAGAGCGGACGACTGGACGGCACTGGGGAGGGCTGGCGGCGCCGCTCTGTAAATGCCGACCGGTGACGTCCGCCCGCTGCCTAGGCCGGGCTCGGCACCGTGGGGGCCGCCGCGCCCCGGCGCACGGTAGGCGATCGGGCCGGTCTAGCCTCGCGAAACCTCAAAGACATTTTTTCCGAAAATTGGAAAACAACGCATACTAGTCGACATAAAATTCATCAAAGATTACGATTAATGCATTTGCATGGCTCAGGAGAAATTTTTTTCGGAGACAAAAGTATCGTTAAAGACAGCGTTCCGTAATACTTCATAAGGGGGATAATCACAGCCGATTTTTACGCTCTTTGAATATTTTGCGGAACGATGAAATTGCTAGGTGTTGAGCATCCATTTCGCATGGAAAGTGAAATTTAGGTGTTTAGACGATTCCGCCATAGAAAGCAAGTATACAAAATCAGTTCAAAATGTCTTATAATTAGGTTAACTTGTTATATTTTTTCTACCACTGAACATTACGTTCACTGAATTAACCAAGCCCAGCAAAAAAAGTTTTACGAGGATGAACTGAAAATAATGCTGTATCGCATGCACTAAGACACTATCTATTAGGGGAGCCAGTGAAAATTTGCAGCAACTTGCAGCCCTAGCATCCAGACACTTTTTTCTTCTAAGGGTTGGCCGTGGCTTGGTGCACTTGAGCACAAGTGGTAAATGCCCCAAAGGGTGTTTTCGCGATAGCTCAAAACACCCAGGCAATAGAGAGCTGCAACCTGGCATACCTGACCTTTGATGCACGCTGGATCTTGTGACACCAGCCGCACTTTCAAGTCAGGTCAGGTCACTGACCTATGACGTCATAAATGAAACTCTGCACGATCCTCAGATGTCGCAACCTTGCAACGCTCTCAGTGCCAGAGTAACTTTCACAGGGAGGTGAGACTTGCAGAACTTATTGTCCTTCAGAGGTCTTACAACTTGCATATCTCAGATTTTTCCTAAATGTCACATAAAGTCAGGTTGGTCACGTGACCTCACCTATAAGTCAATGGGGAAATATAAAAACTGTTATTTTGGCGCCAGGAATGATATTCAATTGTCTCAAATACATGGAATCGTTACTTCATGTACTCCTTGCAAGATCTGATGCTGCATTTTTGCATTGTTGACCTTGCATGACGTCATTTATGACGTCACTAGGGTCATACGAGTTTTTCGTCAATAACTCCCAATCAAATTGAGCTAGAGAGTCGACAAGTTCACCAATGGACTCCGGAAGACCTGCCGAATCGAATGATATGCGATATGACCTCCTTCGACCAACTTCGTGATTTGAAGACCTCTGACCTGACCTTGACTCGAGGTTAAGGCCAGGTTGACCTTACGGTGGCCTCACCCAAACAAAAGTATACCATTCGACGCGCCTGAGCAAGGCGAACACGACGATGTCAAAATCGTGGTTCTGCGGCCATTTTTTGCGAAGCTATTTACCAAAAACCAAACCCGCTGCTTGGGTCATGTTATGAAATGGGGCCTTGCCGGGCGAGATTTACGCTGTTTCATGATATGTATAAATTGGTAGGGCATTAACGTTTGAATAAAAATTGGTTTGGAAGCAATTTTCTATGGAGGTACACACCATTTCAATGTCCTACCCAGCTCATATCGTCATAAATTTCGACCTACCCTCAAAAGTATTCATGCGTTATTCGAACAGCAATTAGGCAAATTGCAAGCTCACCACAGAGCACAAATCCTATAAGAGATAGTCCTTATTTAAAACATATGCTCATTGGATATTCAAGAAGGTTGCTCCTAAATATTGTGGTTCTAGCTTCAAAAACATGGATGTTATGAATGCCGATAGGCTTCGCGAGGCTACACCGGCCGGATCGCCCACTGTGCGGCGGCCGCCCGGTGACGGCGCCGGCCGGTGTGGGGTGTGGGGGTTAGCATGAATATCAATGAACTGATTTGATTAACATTCCGATCCTTGAGTATTGTCTGTATCCACTGTCTGGCCCCTGTCTGATACTAGGTCCGTGTCCGATATCCAGTCCGAGTCTGCTGTCCTGTCCGAGTCCGCCGCCCGGACTGTCCGGTATGTGCTGTCTCCACTGACAGCTGCTCAGTACTGACCTGTGGAGCAGCCCAAGTTTCCCATCGAGCTCTGCCAACTGAATGAAGTCGCTGTTAAGGGCTCGTTTTCAGTGCGAGCTCCCACCCGTTAAGAAGTTAACCCGCGCGGGGCTTGGGGGTAAATTTTACCCCCCGTCGCGAATTTTGGCAATATCTCAAAAACGGCGGCGCGCAGCGCCGCCAAACTTTCAGAACCTTTTCTTACATCAATTTGACACGTTCCCTGACAATTTGAGCGAAATCCGTCGGACAATTTTTGAGAAATTGACGTTTTAGTGACGTCATGTTCGCCATTTTCGCCTCAAAAACGGCAAAATTTCAAACGCCGCTAACATCTTCATTTTTAAAGGAATCAAGACTTGACAAAAAAGGTTATACGTAATTCTACTTTGTCTATCAAATGGTTATCTCGGTTTTTTGAAAATTTTGGATTTTGGCCCAAAATTTTTTTTTCAAAAAACTGACTTTTGGGAAAACAGTTATAAAATCCAAAATTTTTGAGTGTATCGAAAAAACCGGAATATATGTCAGAGAAGTGGTCTATGTGCAGGGCTGCGGAGTCGATGGATTTTCGGCAACTCCGACTCCGACTCCGACTCCGGCTTTCAAAAACCAGCTCCGACTCCGACTCCGACTCCGGGCAGAATTGTCGACTCCGACCGACTCCAACTCCCGACTCCGACTCCGCAGACCTAGCAGGGCTGCGGAGTCGACAGATTTTCGGTGACTCCGACTCCGACTCCGGCTCGGGTTTCTAAAATCGACTCCGACTCCGACTCCGACTCCGGTCACAACTGTCGACTCCGACCGACTCCGACTCCGACTCCGACTCCGACTCCGCAGCCCTGTCTATGTGCACCTACATACCAATTTTTAGAAGAATCGGTTCAAAAATGTGGGAGTTATTCAAAATTTTATGACGTCACGACACACACAAAATTTAAAAATTAATTTTTTTGGATGTTCTAGACCTCGTACGGAAGCAAAAATAGCACCATTCGATTTGCCGTGAAAAACTGCATCAGATAGACACCTTTTTAGGCCTTAACAACCAACTTCAAAATTTGACCTCACTTGACCTGACCTTGACCTGACCTCGACCTGAAATTCATCCAGAGGTGGTCCATATCACTTATTGAGTGTGCCTATTGAATTCTATGAGTGAAATGACCCATAAAACATGTGTCGCACATGCCCTTTCTATATTTTGTTTTTGGTGACCTGACCTGACCTGACCTTGACCTTGACCTCTGAATGATATTGTATGCAACGAATATTGTCTTGGTAGCCTAAAAACACGTTTTGGGCAATCAGTCTCAGTCCATGACTCCATTCTTCGGCAACTACGGTGCAAGGCCGATACTGTAGAAACTTGCAATTTGTACCCTTGACCTGACCTTGACTTTGACCTCAAACTTCAAATTAAGTACATGTTTTTAGTTGTTCGTGATGAGATCTTTCGATTGGCCTTCGAATTTTCCAAATCAGACCATTAGTTCGGGAGATAGCAGGGGGGGGGGGTAAAATTTACCCCCCCCCCAGCCCCGCGCGTTCGGATGGAGACCCCAGCCCCGCGCGGGTTATCGTTGTCATCTGCATTAGAGCCCGAACGGGCGGCCTGTGAGGCTATGTCTGCATTTCTCAGAGGCTGTGACTGTGTGTCTGTCTGTGTGTGTCTGCTGCAGAGGGATGGTGTCGCGGCTCTGGATGGTGTCGGCGGCGCTAGACTCGGCCGTGGCTCCGCTGGCTCACTCTCCGGCGCCGCGGGCCGCTGAGCCAGCCGGAGCTCAGCGGTTCACCTCAGCAGGCTGCTGCGGACGGCCGTCGCCCCCTCGCCGCCAGTGCCGTCCAAGTTTGTCTGCAATGAGATACGGGAACCGACTACGAGAGCGCCCTAGAGGGCGGCATCGGCGCGCCCGGCTACCGGCGGTAGGAGTACCGCGCCGGCAGCGCCGGGCCCGCCGCCGCCGGCCGCGGCCGCTCTCCCACGCCGCCGTCCCGGCTCGAGTCGCCGGCGGCGGCCCGGTCCCAGCCGGCTGACGGGGCGCGCTCCAGACGGAGTCCGACTGTGAGCCGGCGCCGACCGGGGCGGGCTCCGGGCGGCAGACGACCAGCCCGAGCAGCCGGCTGGGCCGGCGGACCACCGCCGCCGCCAGGGGTACGTGACTGGGTGGTAGCCGCGGTACGTAACCAGTGCTCCGAGTAGTTCGGAGTGGAGACAGATCAATAACACTTTGCTACTTGATGAACATTTTGACGTTATTAATCTACGGTTCTCGCACTTATTCATCGATTGGCAAGCTCAGAATCACGTGCACGATCTAACGTTTTCAGATCCCCTCGCCAACGCCTCCGCGGCTTCCATCGACGACCTCTAGCCAGCAGGTCCAGCAGGTCCAGCGGCAGCAGCAGCAGCAGCGGAGCGCGGCGGAGAGCCAGCTCATCGAAGCGACGGGTGAGCGTGATATCAGCTCAGCCCCCCCCCCCCTCCCAATCGTTAGTGGCTGCAGAACCATCTGGTTGTGTGTAGAGATGGGCGCTGAGCCGGTGACAGACGCATTATTCATTCCATTCTACACCTTTCTGCGTTGTTCGTTGGCCAATTAGCCTAAACCCATTCGTCCGATCAGCACATAGGTGGCGCCAGTGAGAGGCATTCCGGCAAAACCTTCAGCATATGGGCAAAACGGAATGCTGATCCCAATCCACAGTTCGTCAGTTGGTATAACCTTCGCTATTCGCCATAACTGATTGAGTTCCGGCAGAACCTTTGACTATTTGGATAAATGCTTCGTCTTTCGTTAGTATCCCTTCGTCGTTCACCAAAACATCCCCATGCCAATTTCGGCATTTCTCATAACATTTCGTCAAAATTAACAACAGATCGCCCCTTTACAGAGAAATATGAATATGACCACGTGTATACATTTCAGTGCGAGGCATAGGTGGCGAAACTCGTAGGTTATTTATCCACATAAAAATCGGTAGCCGTTCATGAGCGCCATAGGTACAATGTAGATGGACGTAGCTGACATGTTATCGGCTGATTGATGGACAGCAACAGAACAACAGCCACTTGGGGCCCAGACGGGATGCCCAACCGCTGCCCAGCGTATGGCCGACTGGGGCCCATTCGTTGCCCAGCGTAAATGCTGGCTGCGTAAACCTCTATGGACTCGGGTCACGACCGAAGGTAGCTATTTCAGCCTATCGAGCTTGGATCGCGTTCGGATATGTATGGCTTCGAAGTGATTTGCATCATGTCAAAAATAGTATCATTTTTCATATGCCAGGATATTTGGCTACATTGTAAAACATCGTTTGTTTATATATTTTAATGCGTCTTTAGTTCCTGAAGCGCTAGAGCCTAGAGCACATGGAGCGCCTACTGTGTGATGGTGGGAGCATTTGCGCAGCTCTAGTTCCGACTGCGGCCGTCAGGTGTCACTGCTGTCTGCCGGCTGCTCGCAGGAGTATCAGCTGCCGCCTGGTGTATAGTCTCTCTTGAAAGTATCGCGTCATGGGCAGCGCGGCGGCTCGGCGAACTATTCCATTCAGTTTGAGGACCCCAACAGTGAGGTCATGGCCGGGCGTTTGATTTTTCCTTTCTGAAGATCCGTCGACCCGAGTTGTTCCCTTTAACCCTCCCCGTATTGGTGTTTTGACAGCCGCGAACGTATAAGGGGGGGGGGGGGGGAGTCCGTGAGCGTGTTGCCCGTGACGAGAGGAAGCCGAGATACCCAATTTTAAGGTCCTAGGTCATCGGTTGACCTTCCAGGTCAGGTCCCAGGTCGGGTCAGTGACCCAAAAATCGGGAAAATCGGGACCTGTTAGAACGTCGTAAAGGGTGGCTGCTATGGTTTTTTTCGGGGTACTGATCACGATTATAATGTTAGTTATGATCATAGATGATGTCTTGAACTTCACACATTTAGGCCACGTCGGGTCAGGTCAACCAGTAATGGTTTTGCCGGGTATTCGTAGTAGCTGGCAACCGCCTCTGACAGCTTCGGAACATGTTACGAAGGCACCAAAATACGTCGTAAATGTTCAAATGATTGCTTGATTCGAATTCAGCTCCAAAAACTAGCCTAGAAACATGTAAAACTCGAAAAAGTGAACCGAGGTATCAAAGGTCAATGACCTGACCTGACCTTCCGGTGACCTTGACAACTACCCTAATGCTTGGGACTACTACCTAATATCTTGCGTTGGCTATGGGTCTTGTGAGCTTTTGACACCTTGATTTCGGCCTTTTTTGCCAGTCTTACCTCCCACCTATCATGGAACATGTTGTTCGACGATGTACCGATGTCAAGGTCAGGGTCAAGGTCAACCTAGGTCATCTAAAAACATTGTGTTTTAGGCAAGCTGAATTTACTTTTCGTGAAGTTTCTTTGACTGTATTTTTGATAAAAGCTTCTCATTTCATGATTTCATGTAACATGGACACATAAACAGTCTGTGCAAACATCAGTATACCTACACACAGACACACACATCCAAAAAGTCATCGGATTTCATCCTCTATTTTTTGGAGGGGGCCCAAATAAATTAAAAATATTTAAAAAATGAAAAAAAATGTTAGAACTGAGGGGCAAGCAGTCCATGGGTCCCTGCTAGATAGGCCCACGATTAGCTTCACAGAGTCGCTCAGCCGGTTCTGAAGGCGTTCTTGTGGCCCCGTAGGTCGGATGAGGGTCCTTCAGAAATCAGACCGCCAAAGGCCCCTACAGCCCATGAGAGCCTCGTAAGCCGTCTGAGGGTCATGTAAGCCGTCTAAGGGCAGGGGCGTAGCCAGGCTTTTCTTAAGGGGGCCAATCAGACCGAAAGGGGCCCATGTAAGCGAAGGGGCCCAACATTTTCTTAATTTCATGACGTAGTTATTTGCTTAACTACCTTAAAATTACGAAGGGCCCCTGCGAACCCAATGGAGGGCCCCGAGGGGCTCAGTGGCAAAGCCTCAGGCCCGAAGGGCCCTTTTATAACTAATGAAGAGAGCCCAGAGGGCCCTAGCGGCAAGGTCTCAGGCCCGAAAGGCCCTTACGAACCCAGTGAAGTGTCCCGAGGGGCCCTTACGCTACTTTTGTTGTGCCCCTTACCATACCTATGACACCGCGATGGGGGCCCTTTTGGGCTCCAGGGGGGGCATGGCCCCTATGCTCCCCCCTTGGCTACGCCTCTGCGTCCCACAGAGACCGGGCGGAGACGGTGAGTTATGAAAAGTAGCGGGGTATGAAGCGTTTTTCGTCTGGTGGTGGGACACCTGTGTGGCGATTTTGAACGAAATCGAGAGGGGTTCCCAATATGCCCAAATAAGTAAAATGGAAATTGATAATTTCCATGGAGTGCTCCCGACTGGTTTAGCATGAATATCAATGAACTGACTTGATAAGTATTCACATTCAGACCGTTGAAGTATTGTCTGTATCCGCTGTCTGGCCCCTGTCTGATTTTGGGTCCGTGTCTGATACCCAGTCCGAGTCCGCTGCCCGGGCTGTCCGGTGTGTGCTGTCTCCACTGACTGTGCTGCTCACTGCTCAGTACTGACCTGTGGAGCAGTCCAAGTTTCCCATCGAGCTCTGCCAACTGAAGTTGCGCAAATGAAGTCGCTGTTAATGGCTCTTTTTCAGTGCGAGCTCCCACCCGTTAAGAAGTTATCGTTGTCATCTGCATTAGAGCTTGAACGGGTGGCCTGTGAGGATATGTCTGCATTTCTCAGAGGCTGTGACTGTGTGTCTGTCTGTGTGTGTCTGCTGCAGAAGGATGGTGTCGCGGCTCTGGATGGTGTCGGCGGCGCTAGACTCGGCCGTGGCTCCTCTGGCTCACTGTCCGGCGCCGCGGGCCGCTGAGCCAGCCGGAGCTCAGCGGTTCACCTCAGCAGGCCGGCAGGACACGTCTGTCAGTCACCATACGTCTGGCCAGAAGCGGCCGACTCCGGCGGTGCCCTGGCGTGTCAACCGAGCCGCGGCCGGACGGCCGTCGCCCCCTCGCCGCCAGTGCCGTCCAAGTTTGTCTGCCATGAGATACGGGAACCGACTACGAGAGCGCCCTAGAGGGCGGCACCGGCGCGCCGGCAGCCCGGCGGGTGGAGTACCGCGCTGGCAGCGCCGGGCCCGCCGCCGCCGCCAGCCGCCGGCCGCGACCGCTCTCCCACGCCGCCGTCCCGGTTCGAGTCGCCGGCGGCGGCCCGGTCCCAGCCGGCTGACGGGGCGCGCTCCAGACGGAGTCCGACTGTGAGCCGGGGCGGGTCGGGGCCGGCTCCGTGCGGCAGACGACCAGCACGAGCAGCCAGCTGAGCCGGCGGACCACCGCCGCCGGCCAGGCACGGAGTGAGCCACCGATCCAGGGAACGAGTCTGTCGGTGGCAGTGGAATATGAAGAGGATCCGGACGGACAAAGGATGGCCATGGAGGACTGGAGAGCCGCGGTGACGGCGCGCGGCGCTGGTTCACCGTGGGGTGGGGGGGGGGGGGGGGGGCTCGAGGGCGCCGATCGGGGGCACGTATTCCCGAGGACCTGCAGTGTGGCCACAGCTGGTACGATGGTCCGTGTCTTGTGCACTGCCACGATGGGGAATGGGGATACTCGCATTTCCTATTGTACCGAACAGGTAGCACTGCAGGATCAAAGTGATGAACTCAACACAGGCCCCAGTACCGTAGGTATAGCCGACTGTTCGTACCGCCTGATTAGAGTTAGCCTGCCTGCATCGATTGCAGAATATTGCGCATTGCATATCTTACTACATCGCTCAAAAGCCCATTGAAGGCGATCGTTGGCCGCTGCCAGATCCGGGCTCGCGTCTTGCGGCACAGCGGGAGTTCAGGCGCTGTACTACTAGAGCCATCTAGGGAGAAGAGCGGCGCTACTCTGGCCGCTTCGAGTTCGTTGTGGCGCAGCCGGCAGCTGGGTGCCGGAGTTGATACATAACCGTTTGAAGCAGGTTGATCAAGACTGCATGCATTTTCTTTGTTAGGTCCGATGCCTGGCTTTTGCATTGCTTCACATACAGAGTGAAACAGTAAAGGCCCTATCCGCTTACGTGCCCACGGTGACTGCCCATCGTGTTTACGCTCATGGGCGGAGAATTGTCATAATCCCAGGGGGTGCTTTCTCAGCACCTGTCGAATGGAGGCGTCGAATTCTTGCATAGAAAAGCACATAACAGGGACGCTTTCCCAACAGTATCACTCTCCTGGCGACTTACGCAAAGCAGTTCGGTCTCAGACGTAATTTAAGCAACTACTGGAGTACTATTAGGATATGGTGACCTTTGAATTTCAGGGGTTGCTCGAGCACCCCCAAAATTCCTAATATTCCACCCCTGTTTACGCTCCGTATGTGAAGCGGTCTTTAGGCAAACAATGCCGGCAGGCGGCTATTTTTCTGTTGGTAAAACTGGCCTCTGATCTATACCTATATAAAACGACGAAATCAGTTCGCCATAACTGATTAACCCGCGAGTTGCTGGGGGGGGGGCGTTAAACGCCCCCACTTTTTTCGCCGGGCCATAGCATAAAAACGGCGCGCCGCAGGCGCGCCAAATTTTGGGTACCTGTAGGGAATTGATTGAAGTGTATTGTGACAAAGTTTAAAAAAAAAAATCTGTCGGAAAATTTTTGAGATATCGAGGTTTTAGTGACGTCATGATTTCTGAGTTTTCGACCAAAAACGGCATATGTTCAAAAAATCATATAAAATCACAGAATAGACATACAGACATGCCGTAAACGCCATTAGACTGCCAATACCATGAACAATCAAATGGCTATCTTCGATTATTGATTATCGTTCCGCATTTTCCAAACTCTTGAACTGAATCTTGGCAATTTCTCGTGACTACTTCACGACCATGATACATGCATTTCTTAAATTGAACTTTTTGAGCCAAACACGTACACATATGATAAAATGAATGTCACCATCGTGTTCTACGCCCCAAATTACCCATAAAACATGTGTCACAGGCTGCCAATATCAGTTTTGATTTTCGGGAATATTTGCCTACCCGGTTGACCTGACCTTGACCCTGACCTATGCTTGACTGACCCCAACATGAAGCTGACACTCTTGTAGGCCTTATATGATGGATTGTGCACCGTTTTGACAGAGTTTATGACGAGAGGCGCCCATTGCGAAGTCCTGAAGTCCATGCTACTGAAAGCCCGATTTCAGGTGTTTGACCTGACCTTGACCCGACCTGTGACCTCAAAATTCAACTTTAAAGTACTCATCCGAAGCGTCTCGTCGCGTTCTTTCGTTTGCCGCCTCGTGCGTTTCGCTGCGCCTATTGGTTCTCGAGTTATCGGCTGGGGGCGTTTAACGCCCCCCCCCCCCCAGCAAACGGTGGGTGGCGAAATACCCCAGCAACTGCCGGGTTAAGTACCGGCAAAACCTTTGACTATTTGGATAAATGCTTCATCATTCGTTAATCCTTCGTTGTTCACCAAAACATCCCCATACCAATTTCGGCATTTCTCGTAACATTTCGTCAAAATCAAAAATAGATCGCCCCTTTACAAAGAAATATAAATATGACCGCGTTTATACATTTCAGTGCGAGGCATAGGTGGCGAAACTCGTAGGTTATTTATCCACATAAAAATCGGTAGCCGTTCATGAGCGCCATAGGTACAATGTAGATGGACGTAGCTGACGTGTTATCGGCTGATTGATGGACAGCAACAGAACAACAGCCACTTGGGGCCCAGACGGGATGCCCAACCGCTGCCCAGCGTATGGCCGACTGGGGCCCATTCGTTGCCCAGCGTAAATGCTGGCTGCGTAAACCTCTATGGACTCGGGTCACGACCGAAGGTAGCTATTTCAGCCTATCGAGCTTGGATCGCGTTCGGATATGTATGGCTTCGAAGTGATTTGCATCATGTCAAAAATAGTATCATTTTTCATATGCCAGGATATTTGGCTACATTGTAAAACATCGTTTGTTTATATATTTTAATGCGTCTTTAGTTCCTGAAGCGCTAGAGCCTAGAGCACATGGAGCGCCTACTGTGTGATGGTGGGAGCATTTGCGCAGCTCTAGTTCCGACTGCGGCCGTCAGGTGTCACTGCTGTCTGCCGGCTGCTCGCAGGAGTATCAGCTGCCGCCTGGTGTATAGTCTCTCTTGAAAGTATCGCGTCATGGGCAGCGCGGCGGCTCGGCGAACTATTCCATTCAGTTTGAGGACCCCAACAGTGAGGTCATGGCCGGGCGTTTGATTTTTCCTTTCTGAAGATCCGTCGACCCGAGTTGTTCCCTTTAACCCTCCCCGTATTGGTGTTTTGACAGCCGCGAACGTATAAGGGGGGGGGGGGGGGAGTCCGTGAGCGTGTTGCCCGTGACGAGAGGAAGCCGAGATACCCAATTTTAAGGTCCTAGGTCATCGGTTGACCTTCCAGGTCAGGTCCCAGGTCGGGTCAGTGACCCAAAAATCGGGAAAATCGGGACCTGTTAGAACGTCGTAAAGGGTGGCTGCTATGGTTTTTTTCGGGGTACTGATCACGATTATAATGTTAGTTATGATCATAGATGATGTCTTGAACTTCACACATTTAGGCCACGTCGGGTCAGGTCAACCAGTAATGGTTTTGCCGGGTATTCGTAGTAGCTGGCAACCGCCTCTGACAGCTTCGGAACATGTTACGAAGGCACCAAAATACGTCGTAAATGTTCAAATGATTGCTTGATTCGAATTCAGCTCCAAAAACTAGCCTAGAAACATGTAAAACTCGAAAAAGTGAACCGAGGTATCAAAGGTCAATGACCTGACCTGACCTTCCGGTGACCTTGACAACTACCCTAATGCTTGGGACTACTACCTAATATCTTGCGTTGGCTATGGGTCTTGTGAGCTTTTGACACCTTGATTTCGGCCTTTTTTGCCAGTCTTACCTCCCACCTATCATGGAACATGTTGTTCGACGATGTACCGATGTCAAGGTCAGGGTCAAGGTCAACCTAGGTCATCTAAAAACATTGTGTTTTAGGCAAGCTGAATTTACTTTTCGTGAAGTTTCTTTGACTGTATTTTTGATAAAAGCTTCTCATTTCATGATTTCATGTAACATGGACACATAAACAGTCTGTGCAAACATCAGTATACCTACACACAGACACACACATCCAAAAAGTCATCGGATTTCATCCTCTATTTTTTGGAGGGGGCCCAAATAAATTAAAAATATTTAAAAAATGAAAAAAAATGTTAGAACTGAGGGGCAAGCAGTCCATGGGTCCCTGCTAGATAGGCCCACGATTAGCTTCACAGAGTCGCTCAGCCGGTTCTGAAGGCGTTCTTGTGGCCCCGTAGGTCGGATGAGGGTCCTTCAGAAATCAGACCGCCAAAGGCCCCTACAGCCCATGAGAGCCTCGTAAGCCGTCTGAGGGTCATGTAAGCCGTCTAAGGGCAGGGGCGTAGCCAGGCTTTTCTTAAGGGGGCCAATCAGACCGAAAGGGGCCCATGTAAGCGAAGGGGCCCAACATTTTCTTAATTTCATGACGTAGTTATTTGCTTAACTACCTTAAAATTACGAAGGGCCCCTGCGAACCCAATGGAGGGCCCCGAGGGGCTCAGTGGCAAAGCCTCAGGCCCGAAGGGCCCTTTTATAACTAATGAAGAGAGCCCAGAGGGCCCTAGCGGCAAGGTCTCAGGCCCGAAAGGCCCTTACGAACCCAGTGAAGTGTCCCGAGGGGCCCTTACGCTACTTTTGTTGTGCCCCTTACCATACCTATGACACCGCGATGGGGGCCCTTTTGGGCTCCAGGGGGGGCATGGCCCCTATGCTCCCCCCTTGGCTACGCCTCTGCGTCCCACAGAGACCGGGCGGAGACGGTGAGTTATGAAAAGTAGCGGGGTATGAAGCGTTTTTCGTCTGGTGGTGGGACACCTGTGTGGCGATTTTGAACGAAATCGAGAGGGGTTCCCAATATGCCCAAATAAGTAAAATGGAAATTGATAATTTCCATGGAGTGCTCCCGACTGGTTTAGCATGAATATCAATGAACTGACTTGATAAGTATTCACATTCAGACCGTTGAAGTATTGTCTGTATCCGCTGTCTGGCCCCTGTCTGATTTTGGGTCCGTGTCTGATACCCAGTCCGAGTCCGCTGCCCGGGCTGTCCGGTGTGTGCTGTCTCCACTGACTGTGCTGCTCACTGCTCAGTACTGACCTGTGGAGCAGTCCAAGTTTCCCATCGAGCTCTGCCAACTGAAGTTGCGCAAATGAAGTCGCTGTTAATGGCTCTTTTTCAGTGCGAGCTCCCACCCGTTAAGAAGTTATCGTTGTCATCTGCATTAGAGCTTGAACGGGTGGCCTGTGAGGATATGTCTGCATTTCTCAGAGGCTGTGACTGTGTGTCTGTCTGTGTGTGTCTGCTGCAGAAGGATGGTGTC